TTTGCAATGAATTATCCACGGAAGCCTTCTAAGTAGGCCCCCTCTTTTTACTCTTATCCTGTGCAACTAGTTCCCTACCCAGCAGCCAGTCATCTTTCTAAAACAGAAATCTGATCATATCGCCTGACTGCTTTTTTAAAACCCTCTGAGTCTTCCTGTGAAACCCAGAACAAAACCCCAGCTTTCGCTGTGGCCTGCAAGGTCTCCTGTGGCTCTTCCCTCCTGTCACTCTCCCTCCTCCTCCTATTCTTAGTCATATTGGCCTCTCACCGACCGGTCTGTGTGTCCGAGGACGACCGGTCTGTGTGTCCGAGGACGACCGGTCTGTGTGTCAGAGGACGGACGACCGGTCTGTGTGTCCGAGGACGACCGGTCTTTGTGTCCGAGGACGGACGACCGGTCTGTGTGTCCGAGGACGACCGGTCTGTGTGTCCGAGGACGTCTGGTCTGTGTGTCCGAGGACGACCGGTCTGTGTGTCTGAGGACGACCAGTCTGTGTGTCAGAGGACGGACGACCGGTCTGTGTGTCCGAGGACGACCGGTCTGTGTGTCCGAGGACGACCGGTCTGTGTGTCCGAGGACGACCGGTCTGTGTGTCCGAGGACGACCGGTCTGTGTGTCCGAGGACGACCGGTCTGTGTGTCCGAGGACGACCGGTCTGTGTGTCCGAGGACGACCGGTCTGTGTGTCCGAGGACGACCGGTCTGTGTGTCCGAGGACGACCGGTCTGTGTGTCCGAGGACGACCGGTCTGTGTGTCCGAGGACGACCGGTCTGTGTGTCCGAGGACGACCGGTCTGTGTGTCCGAGGACGACCGGTCTGTGTGTCCGAGGACGACCGGTCTGTGTGTCCGAGGACGACCGGTCTGTGTGTCCGAGGACGACCGGTCTGTGTGTCCGAGGACGACCGGTCTGTGTGTCCGAGGACGACCGGTCTGTGTGTCCGAGGACGACCGGTCTGTGTGTCCGAGGACGACCGGTCTGTGTGTCCGAGGACGACCGGTCTGTGTGTCCGAGGACGACCGGTCTGTGTGTCCGAGGACGACCGGTCTGTGTGTCCGAGGACGACCGGTCTGTGTGTCCGAGGACGACCGGTCTGTGTGTCCGAGGACGACCGGTCTGTGTGTCCGAGGACGACCGGTCTGTGTGTCCGAGGACGACCGGTCTGTGTGTCCGAGGACGACCGGTCTGTGTGTCCGAGGACGACCGGTCTGTGTGTCCGAGGACGACCGGTCTGTGTGTCCGAGGACGACCGGTCTGTGTGTCCGAGGACGACCGGTCTGTGTGTCCGAGGACGACCGGTCTGTGTGTCCGAGGACGACCGGTCTGTGTGTCCGAGGACGACCGGTCTGTGTGTCCGAGGACGACCGGTCTGTGTGTCCGAGGACGACCGGTCTGTGTGTCCGAGGACGACCGGTCTGTGTGTCCGAGGACGACCGGTCTGTGTGTCCGAGGACGACCGGTCTGTGTGTCCGAGGACGACCGGTCTGTGTGTCCGAGGACGACCGGTCTGTGTGTCCGAGGACGACCGGTCTGTGTGTCCGAGGACGACCGGTCTGTGTGTCCGAGGACGACCGGTCTGTGTGTCCGAGGACGACCGGTCTGTGTGTCCGAGGACGACCGGTCTGTGTGTCCGAGGACGACCGGTCTGTGTGTCCGAGGACGACCGGTCTGTGTGTCCGAGGACGACCGGTCTGTGTGTCCGAGGACGACCGGTCTGTGTGTCCGAGGACGACCGGTCTGTGTGTCCGAGGACGACCGGTCTGTGTGTCCGAGGACGACCGGTCTGTGTGTCCGAGGACGACCGGTCTGTGTGTCCGAGGACGACCGGTCTGTGTGTCCGAGGACGACCGGTCTGTGTGTCCGAGGACGACCGGTCTGTGTGTCCGAGGACGACCGGTCTGTGTGTCCGAGGACGACCGGTCTGTGTGTCCGAGGACGACCGGTCTGTGTGTCCGAGGACGACCGGTCTGTGTGTCCGAGGACGACCGGTCTGTGTGTCCGAGGACGACCGGTCTGTGTGTCCGAGGACGACCGGTCTGTGTGTCCGAGGACGACCGGTCTGTGTGTCCGAGGACGACCGGTCTGTGTGTCCGAGGACGACCGGTCTGTGTGTCCGAGGACGACCGGTCTGTGTGTCCGAGGACGACCGGTCTGTGTGTCCGAGGACGACCGGTCTGTGTGTCCGAGGACGACCGGTCTGTGTGTCCGAGGACGACCGGTCTGTGTGTCCGAGGACGACCGGTCTGTGTGTCCGAGGACGACCGGTCTGTGTGTCCGAGGACGACCGGTCTGTGTGTCCGAGGACGACCGGTCTGTGTGTCCGAGGACGACCGGTCTGTGTGTCCGAGGACGACCGGTCTGTGTGTCCGAGGACGACCGGTCTGTGTGTCCGAGGACGACCGGTCTGTGTGTCCGAGGACGACCGGTCTGTGTGTCCGAGGACGACCGGTCTGTGTGTCCGAGGACGACCGGTCTGTGTGTCCGAGGACGACCGGTCTGTGTGTCCGAGGACGACCGGTCTGTGTGTCCGAGGACGACCGGTCTGTGTGTCCGAGGACGACCGGTCTGTGTGTCCGAGGACGACCGGTCTGTGTGTCCGAGGACGACCGGTCTGTGTGTCCGAGGACGACCGGTCTGTGTGTCCGAGGACGACCGGTCTGTGTGTCCGAGGACGACCGGTCTGTGTGTCCGAGGACGACCGGTCTGTGTGTCCGAGGACGTCCGGTCTGTGTGTCCGAGGACGACCGGTCTGTGTGTCCGAGGACGACCGGTCTGTGTGTCCGAGGACGTCCGGTCTGTGTGTCCGAGGACGTCCGGTCTGTGTGTCCGAGGACGACCGGTCTGTGTGTCCGAGGACGTCCGGTCTGTGTGTCCGAGGACGTCCGGTCTGTGTGTCCGAGGACGACCGGTCTGTGTGTCCGAGGACGACCGGTCTGTGTGTCCGAGGACGTCCGGTCTGTGTGTCCGAGGACGACCGGTCTGTGTGTCCGAGGACGACCGGTCTGTGTGTCCGAGGACGTCCGGTCTGTGTGTCCGAGGACGTCCGGTCTGTGTGTCCGAGGACGACCGGTCTGTGTGTCCGAGGACGACCGGTCTGTGTGTCCGAGGACGTCCGGTCTGTGTGTCCGAGGACGACCGGTCTGTGTGTCCGAGGACGACCGGTCTGTGTGTCCGAGGACGTCCGGTCTGTGTGTCCGAGGACGTCCGGTCTGTGTGTCCGAGGACGACCGGTCTGTGTGTCCGAGGACGACCGGTCTGTGTGTCCGAGGACGTCCGGTCTGTGTGTCCGAGGACGTCCGGTCTGTGTGTCCGAGGACGTCCGGTCTGTGTGTCCGAGGACGTCCGGTCTGTGTGTCCGAGGACGACCGGTCTGTGTGTCCGAGGACGACCACTCTTGGCGCTCCTCCTCCATGTTCACGGCTGCCCCCCTTCCCTCAGGGCTTAACTCCCGCTTCCTCAGAACATCTTTTTGTGTCTAAAATCGTCCCCCCTTCCTTTGATCACTATCTCCTTAAGTTGCTTTAGTTCCCCTGGTAGCAATTATTGTTTCCAAATAATGTGTTTTATATTTGGTTTTCCTGTTGGTCTGTCTACTCCCTCTAAAAATGAGCTCCCTGAGGTCAGGGGCTTTTTCTGTCTTATTCACTGGTGTATCCCCAGCACCTGGTAGGTGCTCACTGGCTACTTAGGAATGAATGAATGAATCACATGTTCTCATTACTCCACAAATGAAGCAGAAATATAGAAATATGTTGGCTGTTGGGGCTGATTAAAAAGCTTGGGCTCAGGAGTCAAGTTTTGGGTCAGTGGCCTAAGGTCAGATGCTAGTGAATGGATTTGACGGTGCGGGGGGGGCCCTCCAATTTCAATGGGAGAAACTGTGTGTTGGAGAGGGGCATGCATTGACCACCCCGTGATTTACTCATTCTTTTCCTTCATCAGGTCCCTTGTTTTTCTGACAAGAATTGACCATGTCGGAATGAAAGGAGGCTATTTGAGCAGACTGCTGTCTGTTGAACGTTTGAAGACGATAAGATAGTGTTCGATTCTGTAGTGAGCAGGTTCCCTTTTTCCCTCTGTAGAACCAACCTTTAGGAAACATTTGTTAGGTTCTTGTATTCATAAACCCTCCTGAAAGATGGGTCACAGTTCCCTTGTCTACAGAATGCAGATTCTAACCTATCTTCTGTAAGCCCCCTGACTGGGGGCCTAGAGCTCCAGCAGAGACCCTCAGAGAACCCTCAGAGCTCCCTCAGAGACCCTCAGTGTCACCAGGTTGCTGTGAGGATAAATTGAGACAGTGTGTTTGGAAGTACTTGAACTATGAAACATTATTCAGGCTAGTTTGTAATTTTCCAAGTATAATATATGTGCTCCTATGAAATGTGCAAGGAGAAATCGAAAATTTTAAAAAAGAGATACATAAGCCTGACTCTGGGAAACTTAAGGTCACCTCCTTCCCTGGCCTTACTGGAACGAGATGAGAGGTAGCACCTGGCAATGTTTTCATGTCAGCCTTTACTTAAAGATAGTTGGAGACTTTAAGAAAAATGCACATTTCCGAGATGTATCAGTTCCTTCAGTTCTTAGCCCTGCCATTCACAGAACAGGAACCGGAGACAGTGACGTGGTTGATAAACTGATATGTCACATATTTAACTCACGTCTTGGCTTGGTTAAAGAGAAGGCAGGCACTTGAATATATTGAGAACTAGATGTTACTTCTGAACAGTGCTGTTCACACCTCCAGAGATGCCAAGTAGGTTCCTACCTTTTTGGTTTATTGGGTTAGAATTTTGTGATTCAAAAAGAGAATAAGAATGAAAAAGAATGGTACCCACATTTTGTGGTCAAGGGAGAATATTTATGTTTCAAGTAAAAGGAATACGCCATGGAACTGGGAGGAATTGATGGTTTTTATTTATTTTTATTCCTATTATGTGTAATGGGATTTAAAGTTGCCTTTCTCAATGTATCTAACCAACGCTTGTTCTTCCAGGGGGTGTGTGCCTCTGGATCGAGCTGTGGTGGAAGATGTTTCGGAAAGGGAAGAAGCGACACAGCAGTAGCAGCTCCCAGAGTAGTGAAATCAGTACTAAGAGCAAGGTAGGGGTGGTGGCGTGGAGGCCGCAGTCGTTAAGTGGTGAGAATTTTGTTTCTTCTAACCGATGCTGCGTGAAGGGTACTAACCCCGGCAGACCTGATGTTCTTCGAATTAGAGGTTTTTCACATTCATTTTTTTTGCACTTGAGACGCAATTGTGCGCTTGATTTAAGTTTATTTTGTTTTGGTAGATTTTCTGGAGTTCTTAACTCCGCTAACCTAGAGGGATCGGGGCTTCCGAATGGTCTCATTGAAACGCTGATTTTTAAATTGTTTATATGACAGGAATTGCAGGCAATCAGGGAGCTGGATGTCTTGAATTCTAGGGCTTGAGGTGTGTGTGCAAATTATAATTCTGTTCAGTCACAGTGAGTTTGTTGGATAGTGAGGCAAATGCCCTGGTGTGAGTGTGCAGGGCCCTTCGAGTCCCAAGTCCTGGTCCACTGGGTCCACTAGACTAGGACTAGAGAGCCTTTTAAAGTCATTCTCCACCCTTGTGAGCTCTCGGTGCCCAGTGCCAGGACTGGGTGAGGCAGGAGAGGAGCCCTTGGCCCACACGCAAGGGTGCCCACCTCCAGGGCGCCTCTCACCAGCCTGTGGGCAGTGCCCTGGGTGACGATGGCCACGCCCAGGGACGGACACACGCACCACTGCCCTTCGGGAGTTTCCAGCAGGCAAGGGCAGCGGTGTTGTCACTGAGCTGTCAGCACGTAGCCAAAAGCACCAAAGCCTGACATTTTAGCAGTCCTGTGCAGTCTTAAATGGGAAAATCGACCGTTTTCCTGTCAGGTTTCGGAACTCCTGAAGCTAGCTGAGACCCACCCCGCTGTTACCTAAGTGTGAGGACCTCAGCCTGGGAATCAGGCCCAGCTTCCTGTTTTCTAGATCAGAAAGTGGATAAAGGGAGACATAGTGACCTGCAGCTGGCGGAGTAGGACCAGAGTGCGGTTTCTGATTCCTGAAGGACCTGCTGCCCCGGGCAGGTGGCGGAGGCAGGGCCAGAGAGGTGCAGGAGGGCTGCGGGCCCGGAGGGAGGTCTTACCCTGAAGTGATGGCGAGCCTCGTGCGGTTCCTAAGCAGGGTGCTGTGACTCAGATTTGTGTTCTAGGATGATGTAAGCTTCTGCCGTTATGATTCGGAACCTCAGAAAAATAGGCCAGTTTCTCCCTTCCTGTTCTTCTGTTCTGAGGGTCGTTAGGTTCTGACAACCTGTTTGCTTTTCCTGTGCGGAGGGGTAATTTGAAGCACAGAACCTCACTCTGTGACATGCTTCCCAGAAGCCAGCCTGACTTTGTAACGGCATCTTAATTCCAGGTCCCCTTCTGTCACACTTTGAATATTTAGGTGTTTTTCCAATTTGTCAGTACCACACACATTGATGTTGAACTTCTGTGTGCATACAGCTCTGCTCTTATTTTATATTCCAAGAAGTGCCATTATTAAGAAAGGGAAGAAATAAGGCTTGATACATTTTTGCATTCACCTTGATTCTCTTCTTAAACATCTAAAATTTTGAGTGTACTTTTAAAATTTAATTTTGATTTGAAGTGTAAAAAAGTGATTTTTTTTTTTTTTCTTTTTTGGCCGAGCTGTGCAGCTTGCTGGATCTTAGTACCCCAACCAGGGATTGAATCTAGGCCCCGTCAGTGAAAGTGCCAAGTTCAAACCACTGGACCGCCAGAGAATTCCCAATAAGTGATTTGTTTAATCAAAAGTTTTTACTGTTATTTCTAAAAAATGAGAGTATGATGCTGTAGAACAAACTATATTAACATGTATGATTCTTTGAATTTTGCTTAACGGATTTGTTGGTTTTTCTTTGTAATTCACATTGCAGTTATGCTCTGGTCCGCCAGTCGGCCTGTGTTTACCTGTTGTAGGCCAGGTAGTAGTTGGAGTCATTGCAGATGCTGGGGTGAGAATTAGGAGACATAGATTAGAGATCTGGGGTATTTACTAGATGTAACCTTGGGTAAATCACTTCACCTCTCTGTGTCTCTCCGCTCATTTACTAAACAGGATAATATTAGCTCCCTGCCTGCTTTCTGCACAGGGTTCTTTTGGGGTTCTTTGGAAATATTACAAAAGCAAGGTGTAGGTTTCCACATATGACATAAATATCAGGTATCTTACAAGGAGATACAGGTAGTGGCTCTGATTTAAACTGCGAGTGTTGACCTCAACGTTTATCCAATATTGTGTGATGGCAAGAGCAGTTGGGACTTTCTTCTTTTTTGGAAGTTTGCTAAGGAATTTGTCTTTAGAAAAATCTGTCACAGTCGATCTACCTGAATAATTGACCTGATTTTATATGTGTTAATTCAACTATAATAAGTCATTTGAACGTTTGGTAGAGAACTTGAGAGAAGATAGTGCTTCTAATTGCGTTTACAGTTTTTCTGTTGGTTTGTTATTTCTCAGTCTGTAGACTCCAGCCTTGGGGGGCTCTCTCGATCCAGCACCGTGGCGAGCCTCGATACCGATTCCACCAAGAGCTCAGGTACGAAGGGCAGATCATTTTGGCGAAGGCTGCTATCTGATGCTTGTGCAGTTTTGCCAGAGTAGCACAAGGAGTCCTTGAGTATTTGGGGTTTTCTTCCTCTGCTCTGCCAGAAATCGTTCAAGATCTGGTGGAACGCGGATTGGGGTGGCGGGTGGGTGGTGAAAGCCGCTGCCTTGGAGCAAACTGCTCTTAATGGTCGTGGAGCAAAAACTTGTGGAAAGCTTCGTGGTGACAGTTTAGAAGTGTCAAAATAGCTTTGTAAGAAATGGCCTGGCCGATTGTGAATTATTTTGGAATTACATTCTTCGTGGGGGGTAAGACAACGTCCTGCTGATTAAAAAAAGTTAACATCAGGAGCATGTGGTAACAAGGGGAGCATGTGTCACAGGCCCTTGAAAACATTTATGCAGCCCCCCAAAAGGAGCAGCTCTTCAGAAATCAAAAGGTGGTTTTTGACCTACGTGCTAGCCGGTGTCTAATTGGAAACCTACATTCATTTTCTTGTATAAAATCCTTCCACTTTTCCTTTCGGGATCATAGGCGACTCTATCCATAAAAGGTGATAGGAGTGGGAGAGAAAATGTAAAAGGGAGTATAGTAGCATAAGGTCTATTGTCTTTACTTACAGATGCTTTAAAACATTAAAAATGTGGGCATCTTTTTATTACATAAACATAATCTAAAAGTGACCACAGAGTATTCCTTTACTATTGCAGACGTTGTAAAATCCTTTGTGGTACTTTTGTACTGGCTGGATTTTACGGCACACACAGTTCTTCACCTATTACCATCTGTTTTGTAAGGGACTTCCTGTCTGGCATTGTTCCATCTACACTGAAAAAAAAAATTTCTGGTCTTTTCTGACTGAATGGGAGAGGTAGATCAGGTTTCCTGAATCAGGAAAGAAAGCTAAAAGTGAAAGGTAAAAAGGGAGAAGAAACCAAAAAATAATTAAATGTCATATGCATTACAAAGGTACTCAATCATTGTCAAGTTGACAATTTAGTTTTCTTCTTTTTGAAGAAGAAATGAAGCATAGTAATAATTTATTCCTTTTGAGATTTTTATATATTTAGTACATTGTGAGTCACTGAGGAAAAGGTTAGTGAAAATTTTAATTCTTTACCATGACATCAAAAAGTTGGCATTTAAAATTTTTAAATTTTTATTAAAGGTTGACTTCTGATGATACCGTCTGTTTCCTGGCTGGGGAGAGGTTGAGGATACCCTGTAATGCAGCTATTTCTTTTGAAGTCTTACAATTTTTCTTTTCACCTTTAGGACAAAGCAACAGTAATTCAGATACCTGTGCAGAATTTCGAATAAAATATGTTGGTGCCATTGAGAAACTGAAACTCTCCGAGGGAAAAAGTCTCGAAGGGCCACTAGACCTGATAAATTATATAGATGTCGCCCAGGTAATAAAAAAAAAAAAAAAGTTCAATTTTCTCAGATTCCAGAGTGAACTCATGGCTTTGGAGAAAGACAACACTCTTCCAGGTCTCCTCACTGCTTCTCCTGAAGCCGCGCTTTTATCACTGTTAGTTGTTACTGAGCGCTGGGGTCAGAGGAGGTACAGGGCACCTTGGATACCGAGTCGAAGAGGAGCACAGGGACACAGTCCCTTCCTTCACACAGTGCTTTTCACTTTTTCCGGGGCTGACTGAAAAAGTCCCCTTGTTTAAATGGGGAACCGAGTACGGTGGCTGGGTACACGCCACAAGCTTACCTCTAAAACAGTCTGGCAAGTCTTACTGTATCTCCGTTGAACTAGGTTCAGCTCTTTGAATAATCTAATTCATAGTGGTGTTGACCTACCATATCTATTTATTCATACCCTGTTTCCAACAGGAACTGAGGTAAGTTTCAAAAATATATCCTGGTCAAGCAGCTAAAAAAATAAATCACCATGAGGGAAAATTTAGTGTGAAAATTAAGACAAATCAAGGTGTGAGATTTGTGCCTAAAGTATTGTAAGGTCCATACCCTTGCCAGAGTTGGGAGTGGATGAGCCAGAAGACTTAATACTGTCAACAGTAACTTGCTTCCCAAGTTTCTAGAAGATGGAATTGCTTGTCTTTGTGTTCATTAACAAAGGGATATTACTGCAATGGAAAGAGTCCCTTATCAATTTATAGAGTGCTGGTTACTATTAAGAGTATATAGTCTCTTAACTCATGGAGATGGGATCCTTAAATATCCTGTTTCATGTCCTCATGAAGGTGAAGGAAGTCTCCGGTGTCTCAGTGGAAATCAGCTGATCTAATCTGCCATTTAACAGACAACTGTTGGTAGTCTGGGCAAACACAATTATCCCAGCCTTTAGTTTGAAATATAAAGTCATTCTATCGTGCAAGCAACAACTAATCTAAGTAAAGTATTCTACTGAAAGATTGCTAATAATGTTTTCTCCCAAAAGTACACTAGGATTTTCATTCTGACAATGACTGCTCAATTTCTCACATCACTGTAGAAATGGGGCTTAGCAGAATTCCATTATTGACGATAGCATTGCTATTATCCCATCTGTTGATTCTTGGAATTGATTTAACCTGCTGTGAGAAATGATTGGCAAGAGTTTACTCTTGCATGTGAGGACCCAAGAATTAAGGTAGGTGGACGTGGCTCATTTACCATAATCTCTTTAGTGCAGGCAAATGGTTCCACAGAAATACTGACCGTATGGAATATCTACTGATTGCCAGCAATATCATATTTATTTTAGAGAAGGCAAGTTAGGCATATACTTAACAGATAAAACTGGACCATCTGCTAGGGAAACCATCAGGCATTATCTGCTGTCTTACTTGTTTCTGAATAGCTCAAAATACTGATTGATATTTTTGAGAGCTGAGTAACCATTCTTCAAGCAGCATTTACTTGTCCAAAGCCCTGGGGCGCTGGGAATACCAGACATATCCAACACCCGGGTAAGATGTAAAGCGCCTGAGAAGAATGGCTCTTGCCGCATGTTACCTATCACTTAATATGCTGACATGAGTATAACCTTTGAGTAAAGGGCCTTCATTTTTCTAATGTTTCTAATGTAAATATTTATTTAAGCCTGCTGGGATCTGTGAGGAGTATCAGTTTGTAACGGGTTAACGGTAAGCATGGGGTACATGGATCTGAGTTTTGGTCAGATTTGCATACTGTAAAACAGGTCCGGGGGATATTTCTTCTGCCTCTTTGGAGAGAAATTCCTGCT